TTAATATGCAATGTCTACTGTTGCATTTCACACACTGTCGCCCTTTGAATTGTTTATTGTTTATTTGCAAAACCAATTGTACCAATTACACACATTTCTATTCTTGTATAAAAAGCGTACCCAAACAGTGCATTTTGAATAAAAGAAGAAAAATGGGTTTTCGGTAGGTAAAAAAGCTCCCTTTTTTAAACCTCAGCCACGGCGCACCAGAAGGCGCTGCGCATTCGCTCTGCCGCCTGGCAGAAGGCGTCCGCCGTGGCTCGAAGGGCGAGCATCTCCGCCGTACAGGCGACAGCACCGGCAAAGGTGGCCGGCGGCGACTGTTTCCACTCGCTGCGGACGGCGCAGTCCTCGGCCAGCTGGAGCAGGTAACTCTGAGCTTCAACAACGTCCTCTGCTACCACTCCTTGGTTAGTTCACTGCAAAAGTGCGTCAAAGTGCGGAGGACTGAAGAATCACTTTTTAGCTTACTGCTAAAGTGCTTCAAAGTGAACCGAAAAAAGGAAAGTGCTTCTCCACCAGCAGCAGCAGCAACAGCTCTACCACTAGTCAGCCTACCAACGCTGGAGCCTTGCTTCATCTCCGAACTGCTGCTCACAAAGCTGAACTCCAACTGCCGTCGCACCCTAGTGCATCTGCCGACGATTGACCACCACTCTTTACGATCTTTCCGGGAGGTGTGCACACCTGGCCAATTCCCCGGCCTGGTCTCCCTGTCGCTACGCACCACCTCTGCTCACGTTTTTCAAGTTTTCTCCACGCTGAGTCTCTCCACCCTGCCGAACCTTCGCTACCTGACCGCCCATTTGGAGCTTTGGATGGAGGACGACGAGGAGCTGGAGGAACTGCTGACCTTAGAGCAGCCGCTTGCCTCCCTTCAGGCGCTCTATCTGAAGGTGAGTCTGACCAGTGAGAGACTGGCGCACGACAATCTGCGCTGGCTGAACATCGGTCAACTGATGCCCAACTTGAAGGCAGTGCATCTAAACGTGCTCCAGTGTAGGAGTTGCGGTAATAGTCAGTGGTGGTGGTCGGCAGAAAACACTGTCCGGGCAGCTTCCTGTCTGCGGGAGCTGCTTCAGATAGTGGCCAACAGCACCGGGCTGCCACCTCGGCGGATCACCTACCAACCGCAGGTTGTTTTTGGCCCAACCGAGCAGCTAATTTCCTCTCCTTAAACACGCTTCCTTGGATATGGTCTTTTTCTGTGTTATTTCAATTCAAATATTGCTAGTTTTTTATTCATTACTCAAAAAGCAAATATGTATGATTAAAAAGAATTGTCTTGTGTTAACTTTGCTCGGATTACTAAAAGTGTTTGTTATTACAGAAATCAACAAAGTCAACAGCTTATTGATCTTTCTTCAGTGGTCACATTTTCCACACTGACTGCAGTTTTTGTACATAAGATTAAAAATTAAAACTGTTAAATAACAAAATGGCTTAAAAATAAGGTAATACAATGCTGCCAGTGTGTTCAGCGTAGACAATGAGCAAATTTAGAATTATTTGGTCAATTGAATGTCATCTTTCAGCTTTTTAATGAAAGCGGCCAACTCGCTGGGAGTGCTGGCTTTGGCAATGAAGGGATCGGCAAGAAGAACATCAGCAGAGGGTCGATCAGCAGGTTTAAATTGGGTCATTCTAAAGTGTAAGTATTTGTGTGTATAAGTACAAAAAAACATTTTAAATTACAATGAACTTACAGTGAGAAGAAACTCTTCAATGTGGGTGAATATTTTTCATTTCTTGTCAGAAAGAGTCCATGAGTGCTGATGGCCAAAAGAACTTTGTTGCTGTCGTACTTGTGATAGGGGCATTTCCCTTCAAGCAGCTCGTACAGTGTGGCGCCCAGTGCCCAAATCTTAAGTTTAATTTAAACGAGTGCTTGTAAATAAAAACAGAAATCTAAAACCATTTTCAAGCATTTACATCAAGGGCAGTGGACAACTCATCCTGTTTTGAATTGCCGCCATCCAGTCGGGCTCGGGCCTTTTCAGGGGCGGTGTACCGAATGGCGCTAGTTTTGCCTTGCCGTCCTTGTGCCTCCTCCTGCTCTTCCTTCAGGTACATCGCCTTGCCAAAGTCGGCGATTTTCACAGTGCCATTGTTGAGCAGTATGTTGTCTGGCTTGATGTTGTCGTGAACTATTCCCTACAAAATAGCAGTTGAAGGCTTTTGTTTAACAACTTATCAACGACTTATCATCAGCATTCCCCCAAGTACCTGTGCGTGAATGTAGCTGAGCGCGGGCAGCAGTTGCAGCATCAGACAGGCAACAAATGGCTCCAGCCAGTAGTCGTAGACGTAATCGGCCAGGCTTCCATCGGCCATCGGTTCTAAAGCCAGTGCCATGTAAAAATGGTAGCCCAGAAGTCCAGAGCTGTGTGACTTGAAAAGTGAACATCGACTGGCGGTGAGAATGTTCTGATGGCGCAAAACAGCAGTTTCGCCGCCGATGAGGTTCACCTCGGTGAGGACGTCCCGGAAACGGCGAGCAGTGACCAGCTGCACCTTCAAAGCAATGGCAGAGCCCTTGGAGCCGTTTGCCTTCAGCCAGGCCTGGTGAACCGTACTTTGAGCGCCGCAGCCAAAAACTCCCATAACATTGAGTTCGTAGTTTGAAAGAGGCGACAAGCGGTCGCAAACTTTTGCCAGCAGCTCAATAATGTACTTAGGATGAATGGTCGATGGAGATGGACGGTAGACAGGGTTTGAAGGAGAGAAGTCCAAAGAGGGCATTGTGGTGGCAAACTCCCCTTCATCCTCCTCAATAATGGTCGCCAAGGGAAGTTTGTTTGTGCGCTCCATTTCAAGTTGAATTTCAGCAGTAAGCACTTTCAGCGTTGATGGAGTGTAGATGGCCGTGGGCGCAAAGTCTGGGTCAATGTCGCCGTTTTGACCAATTGCCTTATTTAACTTGGCAAACTGTTCACTGAGGTGGTTGATTCGGTGATAGAAGATTTCGGTTTCAAAGTTCAAGTTTTCCAATGTCTGCTGAGCTTTTTGGCGGTTCTTTTCAATCGGCTTTTTTAAAGCTTTAGCCGACTTTTTGCACAACTTCTTGACGGCCACTTCAAGTCTGCGTTTAGCTTCGGCTCGATCCTGTTCGATTTGGTCGATTTCGCTGAACGTGCTGGTGTTGTTGTTGGCGTTATTTGAAAAGTTGCCTGAAGGCAACAACAACTTGCCAAATTTGCCTAGCAATGTTTGTTTTTTGGGGCAAGCACAGTTGAGTTGAGTTTCACGAATTGACTGAGCCAGGCTTTGGTTGTCAGAAAGTGCCTTGAGACCGTTCACTGAGTTGCCGATGTGGCAGCTGATGATCTGATTTTTGATGGTGTCGTCCTCCATGTTGTCAGTCTCTGTGTGTTGACCTGCCGGTAAAAATAAAAGAAGAGAAATCAGGTCAATTTTTTTCAGCAATCGTCAGGAGAAACATAATGATGTGTAAACCGGAAAGATTTGTCGACAAACTTACTACTGATGACTGTGGTAACCAAAGAAGTGGTTGTCCTGGCTGCAAGCAATGAGCCTGACTGACCGACTGACAGAGTCAGCGCATTTACTAGATGTAATATAAGTACGTAACTGCAAATGTGCGAGTGCCGGTATGTGATGAGTCAGGCAAAACAACAAAGATTGGGCAGCAGTGGACAATTGTTAGCAAGGTGCAAATGTTTGAGCTGATGATGATCAAGTTGTTTGTGAAATTTATCAGATCATAATCAGCAGTAGTGATGGTGGTTGTGGTAGCTGGGAGACATTCAGTTGACTGTTTGTGATGGCCAGTGCGTTTTTGAATATGTGCTTTTTAGACTGTGAGTCACTGTCTGAGCTGCGAGAAAGGAGAAAATTGAGAANTGATGGCCAGTGCGTTTTTGAATATGTGCTTTTTAGACTGTGAGTCACTGTCTGAGCTGCGAGAAAGGAGAAAATTGAGAAGCAGCAGTAAAAACAATGGCTTGTTGGTAGTCGCTAGAGCTGGTGCAACCTGCTACTCATCTCGCTTTCACACACTTTCCTTTTTCTCGTATTTCTTTTGTTGTGATTTGTATTGATAGCAAAGATGTGTTTGAGCTTTAGAACCCGGCGCAATCAAACTAATCGCTTGCCAAGCACCAGCATTGGCAGAAGCTGCAGCATGAACCGGGCAATGTTTTTCGCCTCAGATGGCAAAAAGATGACACTTTACATCAATAGTGCTTACAACTCAGACACTGGCAAATACCAGTATCTGCTGCCTGAAAGCAGTCCACTTGCCTCTTGGTGGGCTAGATCTCAAGTCCTGGTGACTGATCACAAGTTGAAGGTTTAAAAGAATGAGGAAAAAGGGAATCAGCGGGTGTGTCAAAGGTGTCAAGTTGAGCACAATTTTTCCAATTCCGAAGCCGGTCCCAACATTGGTAGTTTTAGGTGTCGTCTTTTTCTGCGGGCACAAGCGAGAGTTCAGAACGGTTAAGTGGCGCAGCAGAAAGAGGCGGAAAACAGTGCTGTCCTTCTCGCCGAACTCCGATTTGGTGCAGTTGACCAACGTCATCAAGGTGACCGTCAGACCGAGGACAGTCTGGGTGAGGGCAGCATTCCGGTGCAGTTTTCCACCAGAAAGTGTTCAAATGGAAGAAATTTGCGGCAACATTTAAAAATCAAAAATCATTTTCTGTTTTTTAACGCACAAACTGTCGCCATCTACCGGTTGAAGTAGTAACAAATCCCGGCTATTTTTGCAAGGGCACCTCTTCTGCGGACTGGCCGTTTTAGCGCCTGCTTTTGTTTTGGTCTAAGATCGACAACGGCAGCGCTGCAGCTTGCACGTGATCAACACGCTTTCGAAGCAGCAGCAGCTCGTTACCTCAAAACGGCGGATTCTATCTCTGATTCTCTTTTTGCCGTGCACCCGATAAACAGGCAACCGACGCCCGAGCGCAAAACCTGCCTGACTGTGTGCCACCAGTGTGTTGTCGTCTCAGTCATCTCCCCAAATCTCTTGTGATTTCTTCCCAGTGCAAGACTTTCGCTTTTAGCCTATGTTTACTGGTCACTAACCGAACTGAGTCACTGCTTCTGTTGCTGTTGCTGCATTACATCAAGCAACAAGTGAAGCAGAAAGAGAAGAGAAGAGGAGTAGGACACAGATGTCTCGCTCACTGAAGAACCTTTAACGACCATCTGTTCCACTGCTTCTTTCAGTGCTTCTCTGTTCAACAGGCCCAGAACTGAGATGGTTTTTGCGACTTGTGTGCAGAGTGTCAGGCCGCCAAAACTTTCTGCCAGCTGCCTAGTAACTAACATCGCCTACCACAAGGTCGCAGTTATTTCTTTGTGACTGGTGAAAGTGCTGTGCGTCTTGTGTTATGTTTTATTCATTATTCACTAATTTACCCAATTCCGCACCTCATCTCACTTATTCTCTTTTTGTAGTCCGTTTGTTTGTAAAGAAAAAAAGAGCAACTTTTTTGCTGTCTACTTTTTTATTGACAAACATCATCAGTTATCATTTCTGGCATCCAGAGTGAACTTGTCAACTTGCTGACCACCACTTAGCACTCTCTATCATTATCTTAATCTTCAAACGTGTTGCACACTTTCAAGCATCAACAGCTTTTTTCAATTTTCTCTTACGTATGTCACACAGTTTAATGACTGCTATTGTGTTGTTGTTAACTACACAACTGCTGCACGACAGCGGCGATGACAATCATCAGCAACTCAAGTCTTCTTTTCTTTTTACTACTTGCAGACGCTGCTTGCCTGCTCTCTTTCTCACAACTCTGCCAATTTGCACTGCTGCCTCTTTTCTAAGATTCAATGGATCATATGGACCAGCTGGATCCAGACATGAACCGGATTCATGCTATGGAGATGGAATCAATTTCATATAATCTATTGAAGGACGATGTGGACGATAAGCCGGACTTTTCTCTGGCCGATTATGGTAAGGAATTTTGAATTTGCTTTTACTTTGATTTTCTATTCAACTGGTACATCGTTTGTCAAACGGTAGATCCGAACGAAGTGGATAACTACAACGACCCGTACATGAGCGCCTGGAGAGAGAGCGATGATGATGACATTTTAGGCTTTTACCGAGCTTCGTCGCCAGCTAAAGTGCTAATGACGACGTCTACTACGTTTAATAAACAGTCCGTTGGAAAAAAAGCAGTCAATGGTAAGTCTTTTTAAGCTGCTTTTTTGCCGCTGTTTACCAATTGTTCCGACCAATTATTTTAATCTTTTTGTAGTCAAACAGACCAAGCTGCCGACCATGATGACCAGCCACAAAGTTCAGCAGCAGCAGCAGCAGCAACAGTTGCAAAACGGAAACAACAACAGCAAAAGACACTTTTCTCAGGGTAGTACCACCTCGTCAGCAACCTCCTCCACCTTCTTCTCCTCCTCCTCGTCATCAGCAGTATTTTGCGGTCACCCAAAGAGCACCACCACCACTACCGCCCACCTGCTGCCCCAGCAGCAGAAACAATCGAAACCCTGTCCTCGCTGGCAGCAACGGCGAGTGACAATTAAGACGATTGAGGGAGGCGAGTTTAGCGTCTCCATGTGGGGCATGGGCCAGAAAGAAGATGAAAAACAGGGTGTACAAGAAGAGGATTTAAAAGAAGAGGAGAAAGAAGATGACGGGGAGGAACACTGTGTGGAGAACTTCAAGGAAGAGGACGCTGAGGATGACTACGACGACGAAAAAAATCTACTTATGTTTGAGAATGAGCTGATGGGCCCTGGTTCCTCTCAACTTGAGGGCAATAATATGGTCATAAAAAAGGAATCGCCCCTCTACTTCTATGACGACTACTTTGGCATTGACGGGCAGGAGGGAATGCAGGGAGTTGGCAAGACTGCTGAAAAGTAAGAACACCCTCTCTTACACTTTTTTCCTTTGTCATAACTCAGCCGTCTGTTTGTTTGTTTGTTTGTTTGTTTGTGTTTTTTTACACAGCCACTCGGGATTTTTGCAGAAGGCGGTGGCTGCGGCTGAGTCCTTTCAGCACCAGCAACTGCCCACCGCCGGTGGCTCCGGTAACGACGACGATCGACCCGTCTGCTGTGCTCATGAAGGCTGCCTGAAGATGTTTCGCAGCATCAGCCTCATGCGAAAGCACCTGCACACGCACGGCCCGAAAGTGCACGTTTGCGCCGAGTGTGGCAAGTCCTTTGTGGAGTTGAGCAAACTTAAGCGGCACTTTCTCGTTCACACAGGCGAGAAACCCTTTCAGGTAACAGCTATTTGTGCTTTCTTGTTTACCTTGCACTGCGATGTCATTACCGTTTTCTTCTTCTTCTTTGTTTTCAGTGCGCCTATGATGGCTGCGGAAAACGCTTTTCACTGGATTTCAACTTGCGCACTCATGTTCGCATCCACACTGGTAAACAGCTATTGAATAGTTTGATCTTTCCGTTTTACACTTCTCAACTTCTTTTTTTCTTTCTCTGATCATTTGTCTTTTTTTCTCCGTAGGCGAACGCCCCTTTGTCTGCTCTTTTGACGGTTGTCAGAAAAAGTTTACCCAGTCGACCAACCTCAAGTCGCACATCTTCACGCACACAAAGACGAAGAACTTTACGAGAGCGGCACACAATAAAAAGTTAATCAGCGCACTGGACTTGGAGGTGGCTGCTGCAGTGGCTGTTGCCGCCTCGGCCTCTGCCTCCTCAAACAGCAACCACTATCCCCGTTTTTCAAGCGGAAATGGACAGTTTTCTCAAGTGTGTACAATGATTAAGGAGGAGGAAGAGTAGTTGAAAATTTTGTATGCTCAATTTTAAACTACCCCTTTCAACTGCTCCAATCAAATGAGGACGACGCCTTTTTTTACTTCCAAATTCTTGACAGGCATATTTTTCTGCTTTCAAGCCGCCTTCATTTCACCTTTTTAACCGCTCTCAACACCCTTTTGCATGTACGTTAATTTTTTCGTTTTACTTTGATTTATTTGTCCTCTCCCAGTTCACTCAACACTCTCGTATCACACTTCAAGCAATTGTTTGATGTTGTTGTTGCTGCCAGTAGTAGTTGTAGTCGTAGTTATTAGATTCCTACTTTTTGTCTTTTATATTAACACCACTTTCCATGTTTATTTCCCCTTCCTTTATTTTTTTGTACTTTAGAACGAACACCACCAACCACCACCTACCCCTTACACAATTTTGAAATTATTTTTGTTATTTTGTAAATAATGTTAGTTTTATCATCCGTTTCAAAGGAGAACTTTCTTGTCACATTAAACAGAATTTTTCGCTTTATTTTAAAAACTCTACAAACACCACTAGGGGCGCAAAACGTGTGTTTGCCAGTTTTAGTTGAAAGGTACGTAGAAAAACTCCGTTTTGACCGGGTGGTACGGGTCGAGGGGCACATCGATGTCTCTTCGATGCAGGATCCACAGGCCGTCAGCGTTCGCGGCAATGGCCATATCATTGATGGAGGGCGTTGTCACCTTCTTCAGCTTGCCTCCGTCAGCAATAGCAACATTTCTGGCTCGTTGGCGAACGGCCTTCTTTCGGTTGTTCAGGCAACTCCACTTCAGCGTCTCCAGGTTTAGCAACCAGACCGAGTTGACGACATTCTTCCGACGGTTCAAGTGGCCCTCGCCGTCCTCGTCTTTTTCAAATAAACGTGAAGACGCCCACCAGTTGCTGGCCCTCCGGTCAACGTTGAACCCACTTGAACATGTTGGCAATCATCGGCGGGGAACTCTCGTTGATGGGCAGAGCGGCCGTGTCCACCACTCGCCAGCGGTTGCACTCCTCCAGGTTGATGATCATCTGTTGATAAGGTGTTTGGCAGTGTTATGCAAATCGATTGATAAGTCTTCCAATTACTACTACTCCTCCTACTTACCACTTTGGAGCAAAAAAACAGGCGATTGTAATCGATAAAACTGCCTTCCTTGTCGAGCTTCTTAATCGGCGTTTTCAAAAGCAGAAAGAGCTGTCGCTTCCACAAGGCAATGAACTTGTCTGACTGCAGTAGCTCGCCTGGATCCTTTTCTTTGCCCTCGTGTGCTTTGTGGGGCAGCTCCAGGCGGCAAAAACTTGCCAACAGGTAAAACGCTCGATTTATCCTCGGTGATTCAGCTGATAGGTGATCAGTTGATGACGGGTATCGCCTCGGCGTCGGCCGTTGCCGCCCACTGCCTCGTTGCAAATGCCGCCTTTACGTAGGCATTGCTCGATGCCTGGTCGAGCACAGCGGTTCGGCTGAAGGTGACGCTGATAGGCGTGATCTCTAGAGATTGCGGGTGACGTAGGCCATGTTGTTGTTGCGGTTGCGGGTGTCAATTGTTGTGGGTGTCCACTGATGGAGAACTAAAGGATTAAGCAGACGGTGAGTGGGAAATCTGGTAACTGTTTTTTTTTACCTGATTGGGATGGAGATAATAGCGATCCGAGTGGTGCAAATGCCAACACTGCTGGTGTTGATTTCTGAAGTTGCAGTTTAAATTCTGCGGCAATATGTGGCGACACGGTGCAGGCAAACGGCTCTTTGGGAGAGGGAGTCAAATGAGAAGCAGATGCAACAGCAGCTCAATGATATGAAGTGCAATGGCAAGAGTGGTGGCAATGCGGCAGCCGTTGTTGCAGCAGATGTGGCTGGAAAAAACGCGCGCGCAAGTTTTTTCAGTCTATGCGGTCTACCCTACAGTTACTGGCTTTACTGTTTTACACGCTGAGCATGTCCGAATGTAACGGACGCAGCCACACTCGCTCCTTACAACTTTCTCTCTTTTTCTTTTTTTTATCTCGAATGTTCCAGTGTTCCCTCTTTTTTTGCTTTTTTGGCAACAGCAGCAACAGTATCTTAAGTCCACCAGTGGAAGTTAGGTGAGTTTGTGTGTGCGAGTCTTTGCAGTGAGCACCGACTGCAACGATTTCCTTTTCAGCGAAAGACACCAAACGAAAGGAGCGATATGGCCAATTTAAAGCCAGCGAAGAGTTTTGCTAGCATTTGCACTGCACTTCTTTCATATAATTGCCACTGGTGGTGATGATGGTAGCCCACCACTCTTTTTCTTTTTTTCTTTTTTTCTCTTAAGCTATAAATCTCGAAGACGTATGCTGTCCTGACAAAGGCCAAACTTGCCGTCGACAAACAGGCAACCCATCAAGTGGCCAACGTGATGTTTGCCTCGTGATGTTCGATGCACATTTTTGATATAAAATATGCTAGTGATTTGATTGAAGAAAGAAACGCACACAAACTTAAAAGCAAAAAAAAGAAAGAAAAAAGGGGAGAAGGGAAATAACAAGACAACAAGTTGCAGAAAACCCGCCACTCATCAGTCTTCTTATCTTTTAATTATTCCCCTAACTGTCTTTTTTCATTGTTAAGAATGTTACCCTTATTGATTAGTGAATGGGCAAAATCTGCTGAACAGAATAGATTGATCTACTGTTTGGTATTTGATTTGAAGTAATCTCCAGTTGGAGGAGTCATCCATTGATCAGCCCTTTCATCTCCCCTTTGCCTTCAAAGCACATTTACCGCTTTGCAGTGCACCCGTCGCCAGTTACCCTGACTAGCACTTTTGGCAATGGGCACACTCGCTTGCAGACTCACACACGCACACACCAATGCACTTACAAGGCAAGTTATCCGGTTGTTGTTGTTGCTGCTGCTGCCTTTGCTGTGGTGGTCCACAGAGCGGTGGCAGCGCTTTTGTGCAACAAGCAATTAGCAAAAAAGAGAGAGAGAAAGAGGAAGACACACTGGGGGAGAAAAAAGCAATAGGATGGTAATTAAGCGTGTTTGGGTAAACAGTTATGCAATCGCTCGAGTTTGTGCACCATTACTGCCACCACCGCCACCACTACTAATGCTAACAACTGCTGAAGCTCCAAAGCATGCTCACAAAAAGCCATCTGTTGATCAGTGACACTGACAGAAATGATAATGATAGTGGCAATAGAGAGGCAAAGTTCGCTATTGATGCAACATCAGCAACAGCATCAGAAATAGCATCCGAAATAGAATCGATCAAACTTGAGGTCGACACGTGTCCTTCTCTCAATAGTCAAACCAAAACAGAAACAATAGATAGAGACACTCTGATTCATCCAATCTGTCCATTGGCTGTGGACAAAACCGACATCACTGACGCCTTTAATTGAATGGTGACAGTGATAAAAGAAAAAATAAAAGACTGAACAGCTAGTAGCTGCCGTTGCCGTTATAATTCTTGCACTGCAAGCACTGTCTCTTCTCTTTCCCTCTTCTCTCTCTCTCTCTCTCTCTCTCTCTCTCTCTCTTTCTCTTTCTTTTTCCCTCTTTCAATTTATCTTTGCAGAGACAGTTAGTCACATTCGAGCACTCTCACAGTAAGTCGGTTGTCTTGCACACTGCGCTGACTGATTGTCACTGCTCAGTCAGCGGCTGATCACTCTCTCATACAACAAAAAAAACCACAGCTTCTTCTTGTCAAAGCGGTTTAAGAATCAGATTATCCGGAGCAAATCCTGAATAAAAAGTTATATTTTGTCTTAATCTCGAATTCTTTATCATGATAACATACACATCAACAGCATCATCGATTTATTCTGCTGTTACATTGGTAATCTTGACTGGTCATTTTGATAAATTGGCCAATTTAGGCCTTTCTCCAGTCTTTGTTTTTCCACAACCTTTTTACCACACACTTTCAACTTCAGTTTTTTATCCATTTGACAGAATTGGGCATTCTCACACTAACTCACTCCTGCAACACTGCTATAAACTTTTGCTTCTGACAAGTTACCTAAGTTCTCAAAAACACACAGGCACAAACGCACATTACTGACTCTGCAGTGAACAAATCTTGGGCATGTGATGCGGTTTCCCTCTTTTTTCCCACGACTACTTGTTGTGCAGGTGCTGCTGCTGCTGCTGCTGTTGATGCCGATATTTGTGACGGTGGTTGTGGTCACCACAACTAAAGGACACACAGCACACACAGCACACAAGTCCTACGACTTAAGTCTACTTGCGGTTGTGTGAGTTTGTGTGAGTGAGTCTTTGAGTGAGTGGGCACCGACTGCAACGATTTCCTTTTCAGCGGAAGAGAACGACACAGAACTGGATACACCGAAGGATATGGACAGTTTTGCTGGCACTTGCACATGTACTTCAATGGAACTGTGCACTGCTTCCATTGAACTGCCATTGGGGATAGCGATAAAGTAGTTTGAAAGTCAAAACGTTGCACGGCTAAACGCGGCTAAGTTTGATGTGACTTGACCTCTTTCAGTTTCTGTCGACAGTAATTGCAAGTTTCTATCGATGCACAGCTAAAATCCACAAAGTCCTAGCGGTGCACGCAAAAAAAGGCTCGCTGTAGTCCTGGCTTGCCAGACTAACCACCTTTTTTTATTGACTTTCACTTATCAGAAGGGGTAATGATTGAGCATCAGTGAAAAGCTACTGCTGCTGTTGATCAGCAGAGTATAGATCTGCTGTTTTTGATTTAAAATGTTCACCAGTTATAGGAATCACTACTTGATCAGTCCTTTTCTTTTGCCTGTTTTCAAAGCACATTTAAACCACCGCTCTGCATTTGTTGCTTGCTGTTTCGATGAGCACTCGCGTAATGAGCACACATACTTAAGGGGCACGCAAACACGCAGGTGCAAATCAA